CCCTCACCCCTGTGCTGAGAGCAAATGCCAATAGAGTGCAAAGTGCTGCGTCCCTCAGGGGATCTAAGATGGCGTGTTCCTCCTCTTGATTCCCAGCTAGATCGTGCCTTCTGGGCCCCCCCTCGGGAGGGGCACACCAAGGTCAGCCCAGGCCTCCATCTCTGCTGTGGGTGCTGGGGGGTGTCCTTGGGGAGGGGACAAAGTGTGTCAGCTCCTGCACCCCACGGTGCCCTCTCCCTTTGGCCTCCCACGCCTCCATCCTCCCCTCCAGCAAACACATGTGGGTCTTCTCATGGAATGGAAGGAAATAACACAAATATATATTAAATATATATTAAAAAAAAAAAAAAAGCCAGTGCCTGGTGCTGCTGAGAGGCAGGTACAGACATTGCTGGGGGGTATCATGCTCTCTCTCACGGCATCACCCCCACATCAGCCAGGGGTAACTGGATCTTGCGAGAGAGTCTGATCCTCCCAAGCCTTTAATTGGATGCGTGAAGAGTCCAAAACGCAGCTCACACTCACGCTTCCCCCCAGCTATGAGATCCCCCCCCTCTTCTTGTCACAGGAGGGTGCTTACCGGCCAACTAAGCCCCCTCCCTAACCTCTGCTGCCAGCCGGCCCCCAGCCCAGCACCCCAAAGCAGACCCTTTTTAGAGGAGTCTTCCCAGCAAAGCGAAATATTCAAGTGTTTTCCAGAAAAACTTGCCCGTTTTTCTGATCCGCGAAGAAAAGGCTGCGGTTAGACGAGGGCCAAAAGGCTGTGGCAGAAGAATTTGGGAAGAGTCACTGCCTTGTGCGGGACGGGGCTGCGGGACGGGGGCAGGATGGGGGCTCCTCAAAGCTCCTGCAAACTGGGGGGCAGAGCTGGGCATACAGGGACCCCCGCGTGTGCCCGGCAGCCGTGGGGCAGCGCTCCTGGCCTGGAAAGGCCGGTGTGTGTGTGGCTTTTCCAAAGCTCCCGCGTCCCCCAGCCCTCCCTCCGTGCTGGTTTCCACCTCAACCAGCAGCAGCCTTCCTCTGCAGTGCCTGGGCTGGGACAATGCGCCCCAGATTAAGTGGGCCTTCTGTCCCCAGCTGCACCGGGGGCAGAGCTCTCCCCAACCTGCAAGCCTTTTTTTTTTTTTTTTTTTTTTTTTTCTGGTCTTGCAAAATCAATTTACGGACAGCTCACTCATTTTTCCCCCTTACAAACTTATTAGCTATTCAGCCCCGGTGAGCACTCGTAAGCATCCTTTGTCCCAGGGAGGGCTGGAGACCCCTTCATTAGCAGTGATTACTCTGAGCAGTTTGACAGCCTCCCAGCCCGCTTACAAGACTTTCCCATTCAGCCCTGCCCGGGGCTGCCCCGCTTCTCAAAAGAAACGGAAATATTCAAACATTTCTCTCCTCCCACCCTCCCGCTACCCCCCAGCTGAATAGAGAAAAAGCTGTTTCTCTTCTCCGCCCTCTCCATTCACTTCACTTTTGATACAATATTTTCCTTCTTTGTTAAACCGGAGAGAGAGGGGTCAAGGCAGACTTTTTAACGACCCTTTTCCGAGCGTTTTGTTTAATGTAAATAGAA